CTATCAATGCAGGATTTTGTGGGATTCCAAGAAGACTATCAACGTGGAACTTCGTGGGATTCAAAGAAGACTATCAACGCGGGACTTCGTGGGATTCCAAGAAGACTATCAATGCGGAACTTCGGGGGATTTAAAGAAGATTATCAATGTGTAGGATTTAATGAAATTTCATGTAGATTATTAATATGGATTTTACAGGATTGAAGGAAAGCTATCAACGCGAGTTAGGATTCAAAGAAAGTCATCAATGAATTTTGTATAATCCAAAAAAAAATTACTGTCATTGCGGGAACATTATGGGATTCAAAAGGAATATTAAAAATGGACTTTGGTGAAATTCAAATGTTAGCGAGATACATTTTTGAAGATATAAAAAATTATTGAAATTAGAATTAGAAACAAATATCAAATTGTGATAGTTGAAACTTATTATCAAAAATAGAATAATTAATAGAAGTGTGTTACTTAATGAATTTTTCTAAAGGAAGAATCTGCATATTTCTAATTTATGTATTCACATATATATAATATTACAGTATTAACAGATTCATGCACTGTGCTAATATATCCAACGAAATTAGGAAACTAAATATGAATGAAATGGAAATAAAAATTCTAATAAGAAATAGATTTCTTTTTCTTCGATCATCAATCATTCGAATATGTATCTTTTCTAATTTTTATTAATAAAATCTTGGCAATTTTGTTCTATACTTATAAAAATAAAAAATATGAAAATTTTATTTTTTTCAATTTTTACTTAATAAAAATATCACGAATAAGATATAATGAATAAGACAAGCATATATTTAATTTTCAAAAAATGTTATTGATAAATTTTTATCTTTTAACGAGTCAATATTGTATGTGTTGTATCGTGCAAGTCTCTATACAAGTAAAATAATAAAATGTTAAGCATTATATTTATATTTAAATTTTGTATATTCCTAAATATTAAGATTTTATTTTTATATAGTTTAATTCAGAAAAGAATTGTTTGGCAATTGTTAGTCCATAATTTTTAGCTATCGGCAAAATTTAAAATGTTAAGATTTAAAATGAAAGTAAAAATATAAATATATACATATTGTAAATTGAAAACTATATAAGTTGAATTGTTATAAAATTTAAAAATAAAAATTTATTAATATTATAAAAAATTTTTTATTATTAGATTTCATATGTGAAATAACTGATAATAAAAATATTAAATAAATCATTGATATTACATTATAGGAAATTATATTTCGATGATAATAATAAATTGAATTAAAATAATTTTAAATAATACTAATAGTAATATTCAATCAGATAAAATAGATGTTTAATGGACTATATATTCTGAAATATTTATCGCGCAAAAAATCAGAATTTTAATTTTCTATAATTTAAAGCAGTATATATATATATATATATATATGGCAAGAATTATATTTAATTTAATTGAAATTTGATGAAAAATTTTTCTAGATTTTAAAAATAATTTCTTTAATATAATTCCACATTATAATAAAATTGTCAATCAATTTTAAACAGAAAAATAAAATTCAGTTAAATGTAAAATAATAAATTAACAAATTTGTTTTAACAAATTAATGATCAGATAAAATGTTGAAATTTGAAACTTACAGCTAATTAATATGTCGCATTTAATATTATTTCTTGAGTATTAAAAATATCTCTTTAAAAAAAAGATAAGATAAAATTAAATTGAGAATTATCTTAAAAGCATTGATTCCTCAATTTTTATTTTATTTTATTTTATTTTCATCATTTTATCATTATTTGTTTTTTCTTTATTTTTTATCTATTTGTTTTTGATTGTGTGAGTACAGAAAATACAATATATCAATTGAATATATTTTTATTTTAAATTACAATATATTTTTAAAATAAAATAATTTTTAAAATAAAAAATATAAATATATTTTCATTTTTATTTTTTAATGTAAGTTCATGACTTTACAAAACATAATATATCTTATTATATACGAATGTTTTGACACGAGACCTAATGATAAGATTTACATTCTATAATAGAATATATATTTTAATTCTAATAATTTTCTATTAAAATCTAATATTAATAATTAAATAATTTTAATTTCAATTATTACTAATGTTGTAATTATTTTGGGCCGAATTGATAATTTTGAGAAAAAAATTAAAATGATAAGGAAGTTTAAATATTTTTCAGGCATGCCAAAAAATAATGAAAAAATGCATTAAATATTAATTTATGCCTTATCTATAATTTAAATCAAAATAATATTTTAAATTTTTATCAATTATAAATAAAAACAATGAATATTGAATGATTACTTGCCTCGAGATTTTATTTTTATTGACTTTTTATTATATTTTTTTATATACATTTTTATTAATAATACAATTAGATAGATATTAAAGTTTTAATCTTTTTACATCTTCTGGACGAAAATCTATTCTCAGAGAAGCAATACGCCGAACTTCAGCAGGTGTTAATCTCCATGCTATTGCATCTGCACCACAATAATCTGCTAATTCTTCCACTTTTTCAACACTTAATATAGTAGCTATTTGAGTTAATCGTGCAAACTTATCACGTACAGACCAAGAAGTAACAGCAGCTAAGTAACTTGCCAATGATCTTATTTCTTTATCAAGTATGAGACCTCCCGCCTAAATAATTTAATTAATTATCAAAAAAAAAATAAAATAATGAATATCATAAAATATACATACTCTGTTAAATGTAGATTTCAATACAACTTTTTCTAAACGAGCTGTGACTTCAGCAGTAAGAAGACCAATTAAAGCATCATAATTAGATGTTGTTAAACTACCTTTAAAATTTTGAAGTAAACCTTCTAAATTCATAATTAAAGTTTGTACAAAAGGTTCTTCTGTTTCATATCTTAATAAGTCATCCTATAAAATTTTACATATTTAATTTTATTTTTCTATATATTATTATGATTATATATTAATATAATTTTTACCTCGTTTATATGATGATCTACAGATAAAAATGCATCGACCCAAGGTGTGACTCTTGGTTTGACAGCGCTTACTCGCAATTGTTCTAAGCCATAATCAGTAACTGCTCGCAAAATCGACATAACACTTTTTAAGCCAGATAGACAGCTATCGATTTTACCTCTATCTTTATTTTGCATATTAGGAAATGTTGCATCTATTTCTGGACTAAGACTTTTACATAGCGTTTCGACATACTCAATACTTACATCAGTATTATTCAGATAAGCCTATATTATATAAAAATATATAAATGAATTAATATGTAAAAAATATTAAATAGTTTCAACATTATATTCAATTTTACCAAAAATGTTAAACGTGCAAGTTCTGTATCTGAAGTCTGTAAACGACCATGTTGTATACTTGTTTGAAGAGCATTATAAGCTTGTGCTAAATCTAAATATCCTGCTGGATAACCTTGTCGTAATCGATTTCGTAATCTATTTGCAAATTCTCCTTCTAATATACCACAAGCCATATTAACAACAGCACAAACACCATCTATACTCCAACTTGACATAGAACGCCTATATGTGAAAATTTTAAAAATATAAAAATATATATTTATGATATGATATAGTACAATGTAAATTTTTTAATTTTCTTAATACCTTATACATTTTTGTACTATAAAAAATACATCATCAACCATACTAGATGTTTGTTGATCTTGATCTAAAGTATCCATTCCTAGTGCTTTATTTACACTTTCTTCAAGAAAATATCTTTCTAAAGCAAGATAAGCACTTAGAAGTTCTTGCATACCATGTGCTAAATCAGAATTATTGATAATATTTTCGAATTCACTTATTAAATCTTTGTATTGCATATCATTTGTTGCGCTAATTTCGATGTCATTCTATAATAAAAATATAATAATGCCATACAATTTTTATGTTATAAAAAATATTTAACTTACTTTAACTCTTCTTTTTAAAAATCTAATATATAATTCTGCACGTGAATGCATGATAGTAATTTCTCCCAATAATAAGTCAAAATCTTTTGGATCTGCCCTTTCAGAATTTGGTTTTCGAACATGCTCATTTACAATCTGTACCTTTTTAGATATATACCGGTGTTTCATAAATTCTGCAATAATCTTTTTAACTTGTCTAAATTTGATAAATATAATAAATTAAATAATATAAAAAATAATGCATGTCATTTTTAAGAATATACATAATTTTTTTATAAAAATTAATTTAAATTAAATTAAATACTAATAATATACCTATCACATTCTTTTTGTAAAATAGAAATAGTCATTAATAGTCTTCCAGGACCATAATATGTTTCAATTATTGGTTGGTGTATCTCCACAATACGAGCAATTCCTTCAAATAGTAATGTCATGGTATCAGAAAAGATAACTGATGCTCTTTTATCATTATTTTTTATTTCCAAAGCTGCTTTTAAATTTTTTTGAGCTGTTTCTTGTAACTAATTGAACAAATTATAATAAATGATATAATGTATAATAATGGAATGAATTATAACAAAATAAAAAGTATAAAGAATACATATACATAAAATTATATAAAACATAATATTTGAAAAACCATATAATTTACATATTATTACCTTTGTGCATAAATAACTACAAAATTTTTTAAGACCTTCAGTATGCATTCCTAATAAAGGAAATATTTTAAAAAATCTTTCAACAGATGCGAGATCTTCTGATTTTACTGCTTCATCGAATTTATGAGTAACTACAGTTCTAAGTTGTAATGCAGCTTGTTGTAATGTAATCAAAGAAGAACTAATATTAGTATGATCCATTAAAATATCTTCAGCTGTTCTTTCTAATAATTGTTGATCCATTGATAAATAACGATGAACATGTGCTGCACCTTGTTCATAATCTTCATTACGTAACGCCATAGCTACGCCTTCACTACATAATTGTAAATCAAGAATGTCATTAACACGTCTTTGACATTCATATACTCTACTCTATAATATAATTATATATTATAAATAATAAAAAAATTATTCTTAATCATATAATTAATATTATAACTTAACTTACCCTTGCTAAATCTAATTGTCTTACTTTAGCACTTACATTTTCTGCTAATTCATTAGTACGTGTAATCATATTACAAAACTTTTCTCCTTCTGTACGTATTACAACTACATTAGGTAATACCTTACTTATATTTTGTAATTTTGCTTCTACATGACATTGTCTTGAAAGTATATTTTCTAAATTTTTGTCTATTTTAACCTGCAATTAAATAATTTTTTTTTCAATGAGTGTGAACTAATTTTTAAAAATATAAAATAAAAATATCAAATTTAGAAAAACCTCATCTTCTGATAATTTATTAAGTATTTGAGTTAGATTTTCTTCATTTAGAGATAAATCCATGATACACATTATATTGATAATGATAATATAGTAAATTATAAGAATATTATTATAATATAATATAATATAATAAATTTATTAAATATTTTCAAAATATCACATTTATATTTATAATTTATATTTAAAAATTTCAAACTTAATTTCATTAAAACATAAAATTGATATTAAATATTAATAAAAAAAAAATAATTTAATCATATATAGTTAAACATTTTTTAATTTGTTACATTATTTAACATATTTAAAACTCAAAATAAATGATTAGAAAATTCAATAATGGAAGATCTTTTACTTTATTTTGTTAAATTTATTTTTATTCCACTAGATTAATAATTTTAATCATTAAATTAACAAATGAATAATACAAAAATTATATATTTTCATTAAAATTTTATTATATTATATTTTTTGAATTATTTATTTATAAATATTTATTTTAGCATTTTTAAAGGAATAAAATAAACATTAAAAAAAATATATTAAAATTGTGTATTAATAACTAAATCAAACTATTATTTTTTTAAAAGAAAATTTTTTTAAAAATTTTACACTGATCAATTTTATCTATAAATTTTTATAATATAAAATATAAATAGACAAATAAAAATTGAGATCAGTTACAGATATTCATGAATATCAGTATAAATGAAAATTCACCAATGACAACGCCTTTAAGGTGCTCTACACATGTATCGAAACGTCCCACGCATCGCGCGTGGTTTCTGTAGGAAGTTGAGTTCTTTCCGCGCATCTTACGCGTTTTCCTGAAGGAAAATGGCTACCAGCTGTCATTTAATCGAAAAGTGTAACTTGTAAAGTTAATATAGGATTGTGTGAAAAATTATTTAACGTGTATAAGATTGCTTGGCGTGATGCAATTACATAACATTGAAATCGTTTAGTTGATCGACGCCACTTTTCATCTCTATGCAGAACCCGTGAAACTTCTACAGTGCCATGAAATTTTATTCCAATTTACTGTTTACAGTTTTTATTTTTTGCGAAACATATCAGGACTAACAAGTCAGCGCTATTTCTCCATTTTATAAATAATTTAATCATTTCAGTAATCATTTTACAATTATTACTGAAAATTTAACCGCGCTATAAAAGATTACAAATTTTTTGATCTTACTTACATTATTATTTTTGGAGCATATTAATTAAAAATACGGTAAATTATTGTTTATGAATCTTAGATATAAATTTATGATATATATGTATATATATATAATATATATATGTATAATATGTGTATATATATATATATAACATATATATATATATATATATATATATATATGTATATAACATGACACATATATTTTCTAATTATACTTTGATATTTTTTTTGTAATTATATATATTTTTTCAACATTTTCAATATGTTCTTTTAACATTTAAGCAAAACTCTTACATTATTTCAGGAAATCAGCATGGGTTCGAGTCAACAATTTTCTCTTAGGTGGAATAATTATTTAAAACATATTACTTGTGCTTTTGATACATTAAGAACAGAAGAAGATCTTGTTGATGTAACTTTAAGCTGTGAGGGGAAAAGAATAAGAGCACACAAAATGCTTTTATCTGCATGTAGTACATATTTCAGAGATTTATTTAAGGTAAACTAAAATTAAAAATTATATAATTCATTGACATTATTATATGCAAAAATGAACATTACTTATTTTAATGTAGGAAAATCCATGTCAACATCCTGTTATAATATTTCGTAATGTAAAATTTGATGATTTGGCTGCATTAGTTGATTTTATGTATCAAGGTGAAGTAAATGTGGTTCAAGAACAATTAGCTAGTTTTTTAACAACTGCTGAATTACTTGCTGTTCAGGGTCTTACAGATGGTACAGGAAAAGATAATGATAGTTTAGTAGAGGTATATTTCTCACTGTTATTAAATATAACAAGACATTTCTGTTTAAATTAAAATGATATATATTTCATAATTCTAAAAGCTAAAAATATATGGTTTATGATTCATGTTTTAGGATGACATAGAAATTCCTAATGAACCTGAAATTCAACTTCAAAATGCTTCTAGTAAGACTGCAACGGATAAGAGAAATAAATCACCTTCATCTCCAATGCCTTATCACGCTGTCGATTTACAACCTGATGCTCCGCCGAGTAAAAGACGAAAATGTAGAGAAAATGCAAATACAAATGCAGATAAGACTATAAGTAATGCTTTATCTGCAAAAGATTCTGAAAATAAGACTTCAGAAAATCAATCAACAACTGGTTCAGATCCTGTTGAAATAATTCCTCTAATGCCAAATTTAAAGTTGGAAATGCCTGAATATCTAGTACAAGATGGAAGTAGCTGTAGTTACGAAGAACAGAGTTTGGGAGACAGTTCGCTAAATAAAATTGGTATAGAAGATACATCATCTAATACTCCTGATCATGATCAGAAGCCTGATATCACTCAAACATTTTACTCAAGTAACCAATCTACTTCAGATAGCTTGGATCTTAAACATCAAACAGCTGATGTTGGTAAGATTTTTATTATTTTTTTCTTTTTTTATTACACATAGAAAGATATTTTGCATAATTTTGTTTGTTAATTAGGACACTTGCTTTCAAAACCTAGTACTTCTGGGGAAAGATTAACGCAAGAAGCAGTACAGGGTAAGTGATTTCATTTAATTTATTATTTATCTTATTTCACTATGACATGTGATTTGATGCTCTGCCATATCTTTTAAAAAAATTTTAATAATTACTATAGAATTATGATAAAAAAAATATCAATAAAATGTAAATAACATAATTTCTATATTTTACGAATATAATAATTTTAAATAAATATAACGTTTGATGCTTATTAAAAACACAAAATTTTATTTTTTTAATTAAAGGAAATGGCGTTGCAAACTAATTTTGAATTTTGTATCCATATGTTATTATCCATATCAATATTTTATAATGTTCAATTATTAATAAGATAATATTTTACTATTTTAATATTATTTTATAAATATGAAAAAAATCACTTCTCCTTTGTCATAAAATTATTCTTATCTTATGAAATTCTATGAATCATTTATATATTGAAACAGATTATTTAAATATGGATACAAAAATGATTTTTAGTCATATCTTTAAATATAACTTTCATTTACTTTGATTTATTATCGGAATTCGATAATAAATATATGCAGACTCGGAGGGAAATTAATTTTATTATAGTTAATTTAAAAAATAATTGCGTGAACTTTTTATAATATAAATTATATAAAAATTCATTATATAGTGTACAATTTTATATTATTGTTACACATAAAAAATTTGTTATTAATTCATAATGAAAAGACTATAGAAAGAAAAGAATTCAATTACTACTTATAGTTTCAATTAGATTGGGCAACAAGAAAATAAGAAACTTAATAAAAATTTTCATTTACAAAGTTTCATTTGATAATCATTTATTTTTATACAAATATCAGGATCGGGTTAACCAAACGATCATATAGTAAAACATCTCGATACAAATGTTTTAAAATTATTTAAAAAAGAAATTAATTTTTTTGTTGTGAAAAAGTGTTACTTTATTTCTATTAATCATTTAACTATAGTATACAATATGCATGGTTTTTGGATGTAAATGTATAGGCACTCGGGTGTAGGTTGAACTGTAGATATTAGTAAGCATTGCCAAGTGCTGTATGTGTGCCGACAATCATCAACATTCCCTTAATAACTCGTATAAAGCCACCACTACGTTCCTTCCGAGCACTAACTGTAAGCATATTTCTATGTATACACTAAAATATCTTTCAACGCTGGTATAAGGTAACTTCTTTGAATCCGCAAAATTTTACAGGACACGCACGCACGTGTGTGATGCAAAATATCTCACATGTCGATATCACTTGCATGCAAATTTAATCTTAAATTATTTCATTTTCTTATCGATCACGAATAAATGTAATTAAAATAGTGATGAAAATTGAAGAAAAAAAAAAAAAAAAAGAAAAAGAAATATTTGACAATCGTTATATTTATTTATCAATTTGTGCAATTTTATATATTAAGTTTAACGATACTTGGTCAGTACATATTTGTTATCGAATCAATATTTATAATATTTATATATTATATTTTTTAATCTCTTATTTTCGTTATGATTTGTAAAATTTTATCGTTTGATATTTAAGATTAATTTGCAAGCTTGATTTTCATTTTTTATAGAAGAAAATTTCGTAGCCTTGCAAAACGACTAATTTAAAGTAGCAATGGTGGTGGTGCTGACGATAATGGCATGTTAACGATTCTTTTCTGTATTCGAATACGTCTTATTACTTATTTCTTCTTTTTATATATATATATATTATTATTTATTCTCGTAAATTGGAAAAAATCAATATGGGTGCGTGGATATCCGATATATTCAAGTCGAATCAATAAACTCTTCGAACATGTTTATTTCTTATTCAGTGAAATTTAATCGCCTATGTAGGAATGTCAAAACTAATTGTTCGTTCGTTCGTAACATTATTTTTCGAAGCATTATAAAATTCGAATTGTTCCTTAAATTATTTTTAACGCGACCCGATCCGAAATACGTTTAGCCTGTTCAAAAAGAAATTTCGGCAGGTAGGTAATCAGAACATCTTTATGTTTATCGTTTGATTGTTCAAGCAGGAGCATGAATTATTCGAATAAGCGCGAAGTTAATAAGTAAAGATAATTACATTTTTGCGTGCGTATGAAATAATATGGAAACAGGGTTTCTGGAAGAATTTATCTCATGGAATGTTTCGTTCGAAAATAATAAAAAAAATCGAATAATCGTGTACATTACATAATTCATATATGTAATTTTTCAAGCGTATAAACAACGATTATTATTGTAAATAACGATTTAAACGATACAAGAATCGATGTTTGTTGTATTACTGTTATATTAACGCGCGAAACAGCGATCGAATTGACACCCTATATACTATTTATTAAAACTATTGTGTGTGTGCGTGTGCGTGTGCGTGTGCGTGGATTACTTTCCTTTGCTCGCACAATAAGCGCTTAACATCTTATGACTCAACGCGAATCGATGTAAATTGTATAATCATATACCGACGCATCGTTCTCCGTCAACAAATTGACGTGCCGAATCGAAGAATTGCATTATCTATCAAGACAACAACGAATCTTCCGTCGATCGATTTTCTTCAAACTTGTAACCGATATCGATACACGAGCATTTGTCGGAATATTGTTCTGTATATGAAAACGAGCAAGCAACGATATTTCACGATATTTTCCATCTTCTAAGCATACATTATTGTTTCGCGTTTTTACGCGAAAATCGTATTGAAGCGCAGAGAGTATAAACGTGCACATGCCCGAACAGAGAGTAGAAAGAATACGAAAAAACGAGAAAAAAGAATATTTTCAATCGGCCGAAGCACGTATCCAAGTAAAAATGTATATATATAAAAAAAAAAAAAAAAAAAAATTAAGAGAGGAAAAGAAAGATATAAATAGTAAAGAGAGACGTGAAAAGAAAGAAGCTGGTTTTTTTTTCGATGATCGAAAAGAAAGGAAAAGAACGATTCATCGGAGGATTTAATTTTTGAATGTAAAGGAGAAGCATTCGCGATGAAAAAAAAGAGAGAAAACAAAAAAAAAATATATATATATATATATATGTATAGAAGCAAAGTGCGTTGCAACTTGAAAGGAACGGAGGGAAACTAGGGAGAGAGGGGTAAGAGAGAGAGAGGATTGGTAGGTGGTGGAAGGAGAGAGATTCGATCGACGGTCCGAGAAGAGAAAGGAGGAAGGAAGAAGGGTGATGGAGAGAGAAAGAGAGAGAGAAAGATTCGGCTAGCACCTGGCAATGCTACATTTCCATCTAAATACACGCATACACGTACGAAAATATACTCGTGGGTATTGGTATCGCTGATACTCTAGACTGGCTTTTCACGGCTACGGGATTGGTTGGTGCTGGGATTGGTCGTTAAAGAAATTTTGTTTACTAATGGTTGGCTGCATGTGCACATATACTTAAGAATTGACTAACCGAAGTGTTTGGCCAATGTGTTTTCTTCAGGAGGGATTACGTACGTATCTGGTCAGCCGCATAGCCTCAGCAAAGCAAACGGCCACGGAAAAGTATGTGTACACTGCAAGCAGCGCGGAATGGTCACATCACGTGGAAAGCTCAGGCAGACGCGCTTCAAATGTTGGCCCTGCAATGCCTGTTTGTGCCGCTGGCCATGTTTCGTCGATTTTCACAAAATGCGCGCCATCCCGCACATCCCGCCCCCATAGCACCAACTCGCCCCCTCCGATTGCCCACAGTTAATATCGTTACTCGACTAATTGTATCCTCCGCTTTTTCTTATTTTTT